AATATATGAGGTACCCCAATATCATATATTTATTTAATCCCACCCACATATGCTTGCGAGCGACATAATTATTTTATGTGCTCAAAACACAAGTAAGAGATGTTTTAAGAGAAGTAACACAACTTGTCTAACATAAAATCATAATGTCATTCGAATTATAATTAATGGTGTGTACTGAAAACCCTAGATCTCTCGTAACACAAGTGAGACATATGCTTTAGATTTTTCAGTCAAAATATTAACTTCAGTCTCAACGCAGAATATGACATATGTTATAGAGGATACTGCTCTTATTACAAGAAAAAGATACACAAATCATCACAAATTCAAGCATCGAAATATATTTTGCGATGGAAGAATGAAATTGTCACAAATGTGTCACAAAGTTCGTTCAAATTTATGTATTCCGCATCTTTAGTCATAAATATCCCGTCATATATCAACTTTTTTATTTCTTGTAATGAAAAACCAATGTTTTTACATGAAAATCTCTACTCAAAAATATTATTTGAAAAATCGATTGAAACTGAAATACAGAAAACATATAAAACTGAAAACGAGGAAAGTCTCAGTGGGATTCTCTATGTCTTTATTTAACATTAATTCACTATCACTATATATCTACCCCCCCCCCCCCTCCTTTTTTTTTCTAACACTTTCTTTATTACATTTTTGTAGGCTGGTCACAGACATCCCAGCAACTACAGATACAAACTTTGGTAAATCCTCCTATATTACAGATCATTCTGCATAATTAGTTTGTCATTTACAAACATCCCAACTCCCCATAACCCCACCTAAAAACCACAAACCAAGAAAATAAGCCAATCGTTAGGTTATATAGGTTTTGTGTTAATCTAACATTCTTAGGTAGAGTTTAAGTTATATGCACTCACGTTGTAAAAAATATTTGAACAATCAGGTCAATTATAAGATAATAATATTAATTGATAACCTAGTAAAAATTGTACTCTAATTTACTATTAGAGACAGGGGCGAAGCTATGTTGGCCCAAGGGTGGTCAACTGAATACTCATCACCGAAAAATAATACTATATATAAGGTAAAATATTACTTGTTATTGATTAAAATATACACTTTGAACACTCTTGCATAGCCCACTGACAAAGGGTGTTTAAATTTCGAACACCCTTATTGAATTTTCTAGCTTCACCACTGATTAGAAGTAACATAAAATTTTATTTACAGTGTTAGTGTATATATAACTAAAATCATTTTACTTGTTTTTTTGCTGCATTGATTATAGGAAATGAAGTTTTATGCTACGAGAGTCCACAACCATCATTGGGATTTCATCGCTTTGTTTTCGTGTTGTTTCGACAATTGGGTCGCGAAACTGTGTATGCCCCGGGTTGGCGTCAGAATTTCAACACAAAAGACTTTGCATAACTTTACAATCTTGTTTTGCCTGTTGCTGCTGTTTACTTCAATTGCCATAGAGAGAGTGGTACTGGTGGCCGCCGCGCATAATAAATGATATTAATTACTTATATATATATATTTCTGGAAAACTTTTAGTAAGATTTCCCGACTTAATTAATAACAATAAAGCTTTATTTACTATATATATATATATATATATATATACATATAGTAAATAAAGCTTTATTGTTATTAATTAAGTCGAGAAATCTTACTAAAAGTTTTCCAGAAATATCTGCACTTTGTTTGATATATAATTAATACTCCATCTACTATTGGTTACCATATGATATATAATTGTATTAGTTTCAATATAAGGTTTGATGTTACCTATTAGTAAGCCTTGCTCATTGCTTCCTTAATTGTCTCCTCCTCTCCTTCATTAAATAACTTCATTGTGGTTGTTAGGTATTGAAATACAGTCTAACCTATCTTTAACAATATCCTCATATTACATTCATTTACTATAAAAGCTAGTTTTCTCTCGAAATCGACTTTTGATATTATATTTTACCTCTCTATAACAACTTTTTACCTATAAAATCAACATCCATCTTTATAGCAATATGCGCTTTGTAAAACTACCCCTCTATAACTTCCATGTAGAATCTCTAATAGGATCACCAATAATAAGTTTAAACATTTTGATCTCAACGTACTGCTACTTGAACCGAGATAGAAGATTCAACTCTTAACCTCTTAGGTTACCTCAAGGGAAAACTATTAGGTATCCTTTGATGCACATCTACGCTAATTCAAGTGTTATATCTCTAGTAAGAGACTAGAATCTATGAAATAAGCTACAATTACGGCTTGAAATAATTTAAGCTTCTAATAGCTTTAAAATGTATACATTAGAGTTTAAATCTTTATACTTTTGGTTTGGTAGGAATTTATTAAGAACGTGTTAGTTTTTTTAATATTTATTTAGTAAAATTTACTTAAATTTTGAGTATTTAGATTTGAATAATTTTCTAATTTTTTTATAACACCCAAAATATATTTAAACATCAAGTATTGTTATAGGTATATAACATTCATTCAATATAAACGCCAAAAAATATCGGAACAAACTGTAAAAGCCATATTTAACCTATCCAACTTCAAATACCATAATTGAGCCTAAAAAGTAGTATTTAAAGATCTCAATAGTTAAGGGGCCTTTTGTATGTTCTATATACGATTCCGAAGATGAAGCTAATAAAATCCAGAATTTATGGCCCTTGATCAAATTGGAAAAATCCAATAATTTCAAATTAATGACAAAAAACAATGAACTTTGTCAATTTTCCTGGGTAAGGATCTCCAAGTTCGTCTTTTCTTAGATAACTAAAATCTTTACCACACTAAGGAATTAACAACATACAACTTAATTTCAGTTACGGTATCTAGAAAACCTAATTAATTAATCAAAAACTAAAGTTAACATGTAGAAAATAGTCATAATCTAGACAAGGATACCAAAATTAGATATGAGTTTATAGTGAAAATACTTGCATGAATACACGGTGAATAAGACTTGAGAAATTATTGTGCTTGAAATACCTACGTATCAAAGTAAATGATCAAAACATATGAGAATCGCCTGCGAGAAATGAGAGAGTGAAAGATAAAAAGTTAGGGAAAAAACAAGTTGAAGAATACAAGGACGCTGATAAATTACTTGCATGTAATGAAAATATTGTTCACTATACATATACAAAAATAAGCAAGAATTAGTGACAGACAAATTTTGCTGCTAAATAAAAAAATTCGTTGATTTAACAGTGAATTAGTGTCGATCTATAAGAAATCTATTAATTACGAATTATTTAGCGATAAAATTGGCGATGAGTTTCCTAGCGAATTTTTTTTTTTTTTAAAGTAGTTTTAAGCATATGACACATAATTGGTACAATTCTTCTCCCTTCGTCTCACAAAATGTTCACATTAAATAGTACTCTACATGTTCCATCCATTATTAAAGCTTTGCTCTCTCTCCAACAAGTTTTCTCACTACTTGCATATTATGTATGCCTAATCAGGGATTAGTAAAATACAAAAAAAAAAAAAATTCAATAGGTAAACATGAAAAAACAAAAAGAAAAAGAAGAAGCATAATACTCGCACATCACAACAAAAAATGGTCATAACGGCAATAAAATTTGCCGCGAAAACTTTTACCAAGAATTGCATCTATATTTGCTATAGTATCGCTAAAAGTTTTAGTGAATATTATTTTGACGAGATATTGGACCATCACATGATTGCAAAATACAAGTGGTTCATAATGTAGAACATTGACGGCTGGATTCCTAAATAAATATGCAAAGTTGTAATGGGGAATCCATTGCAAAAGTATGAGAACGATATATTTATGGGTTGGTTTCACTATTATGGTAAAAGCTTCGAATGGGAATTTTCTGTGTCTTTTGTGAAGAATGCTACTTCAATATGGTCCATAATTATGATATCTTCAAACCTATATATTCTTAGATTATTAGGACTAGGTTCACAATAGAATCGATGTCGTTTTCTTGTCTATGACAGCTGAAATTTTGTTAGTTTTTTCAAACCTATATATTCTTAGATTATTAGGACTAGGTTCATAATAGAATCAAGGCGTAATACATACGGAGTCACCTAAAGTTAGTACGATCTTTCACTTAGACACTTAAACTAGACCTCTTTCCAATTAGACACGTTTCTTAGGCAATTCTCATACCAATTAGACACGTTTTTTGATGGCTTATTAATTAACAAAGCGCGTGTTCTGCAATCTCCGTCTACGTGGCAAAAATAACCATTATAAATCGTGCCACATCATTTTATTTGTCCACCTCAGCTATATAGTGTTATTTCCACTAAAATACAGATAACTAGCCCTAAACAAACATCTAAACATATTACCATTGTTCCTTTTACCTTCGATGAAAACTAAGAAAGGTCCTACCACTGTTAATCTTCTTCTTCTTTTGGTCAATGGTGTTGGAATCTAGTATTTACACTGATTTCTCATCGTATTTACAACGGTTCAAGGTCCAATCTCTCCTTATTTTCTATTGCTACAGCTAGGGCTAAGTAATCTGTAAGTTATTTCTCAAGCTAGGGTTTTTTTGGGGTTTTCCTTTGTGTTGGTCCCTTGTTGTCTTATGTAAGGGAATATTATGGAGGATGACTATATTTTAACTCACTTTCACCACGGGGTACATTTATCAAGCAACATGTCCCACTATACAAAGGGGAATTAGATGCTTTTGTTGTTGCTATCGATAAAGACCATTTTAGTGTTGTCGAGTTGTCTGCTTATGCTAAAGACCTTGGGTATGCAGTTGTCGAAGGGTTTTATTGTCAAAAGGAAAAAGATGGTGATTTTATCAAAGTCTTTTCTGATTTTCAATTATATGAATTTGTGAAAGATTTAAAACATAGTGATATTTTGGATGTTTATTTGCGTCATGGTGTAAGTCAGCCTGAAGTAGTCGAAGAAAATATTGGTCTTTTATGTGGGGCAGAAGTAGGTGGGGGTGGTAATGACCAATTTAATGCTAGGGCAACACCTGGGAGTAATACAAATACTGAAGAACCTATTGAGCCGCCTACTGAACCAACTCACAATGCTGTTGAACCACCTATTGAGCCTCCTATTGAACCAACTTTGAATGATGCTGGACGAACTCATAATTCTTCTGAACCAACTGTAAATGCTGCTGATGGAGATGAACCACTAGACCATAATGTTAATGAAGATGGAGTGCAATCAGATGTTGAGAGTAGTGAATCAGAAGAAGATGTTCTTCCAGAAGAAGATGATTCAGATGTTGATGATGAATTGAGATCTCTAAGGGCTGAAAGGAGGAGTAAGAGGCAGGGTAAGCAGAGGAAAAAACCAATTGCAATAGATGAGATACCACTAGGAGAAGCAGGTATTGACAGAGGAGTTGAGGATATTGGAAGAACTACTACCCAGTACACAAATGTGATACTTCAAACAAGAATAAGTTGTGCACTTCAAAGTTTGTTGCAAAGAAATTCAAAGATGAAATAACTAAGCAGCCCCACATAAGGATATAGGAAATACAGGAGTTGTGTAGGGACAAGCTAGGATTGTATGTTGGCAAGACAATTTGTTATAGGGCTAAACTGTGTGTTCTCAGAGAGTCCATGGGTGATTGGAATATGGAGTTTGCAAGGTTATGTGATTATGCTGATATGATAAAACAGACCAATCCTGGTAGCTCATGTTGGGTAAGGATGGACAGTGAAACTGAGCTAGGAAAAAATCTCTTTGTTTACTTTTATGTGTGCTTTGATGCATTGAAGAAAGGTTGGTTAGAAGGATGTAGGAGAATCATAGGTTTTGATGGTTGTTTCTTAAAGGGTGCTTGTAAAGGTGAGCTTCTAGTTGCTGTTGGCAAGAATGGAAATCAGCAAATGTTTCCTATAGCATGGGCAGTTGTGGACCAGGAGACAAAACATAGCTGGAGTTTTTTCATCAACTACTTGAAAAATGATTTGCAATTGGGAACTGGAGAAGGATTAACTGTGATGGCAGATATACAAAAGGTAAGTATTCTGTTCTGTTGTCTCTTAAGTAGCCTATTAAGTAATTTTGGTATTTGATGTTCATTAATGTGATATGTTCAGTTGTTAAGTACTTAAGTATTCTATTATTTTGTTAAGTAATTAGTATTCTGCTGCTATTAAGTATTCAATTTTGTGTAGTAATATGCTGCTGTAATTTAAATTAATTATTGTGTAGGGATTTGCTGCAGCTTTGAATGAAGTTTTACCTAATGCTGAATTTAGGATATGTTTCAGGCATATATGGTCTAATTGGCATAAGAAATGGAAAGGCAAGGAAAGGAGAAAACAGTTTTGGAGGTGCTCTAAATCTAGTTATGAAGTTAAGTTTAAAGAGGAACTTGAGAAAATGGACAAACTTGGTAAGGATATTTGTAGGGATTTGTTATATTATCCAAAAAAGTCATGGGTTAGAGCTTATTTTGAAGTGCATTCCAAGTGTGATGTTGTTGAAAATAATATGTGTGAGACCTTTAATTCATGGATTTTAGCTTCTAGGCATAAATCAATTATAACTATGTTGGAGGAGATTAGAAGGAAAATAATGACTAGGCAAGTGGATTTGTTGAAATTTGCTGATACTTTGATATCTGATATATCACCTATGGCAAGGCTATTGTTAGAGGATAGCAAAGACCTTGCTAGAAAATGTATTGTCCTTTGGAATGCTGATGTTGGATTTGAGATTGGAGAAGGGCTGCATAAACATGTAGTTAATCTGACTGATAAGGTTTGCACTTCTAGAGCTTGGCAGTTGAGGGGTATTCCATGTCAACATGTTGTTCTTGCATACTATCACATAAACAAAGAACCTGAACAGGCAGTAGAGCATTGGTATAAGAGGGATACCTTCTTAAAAGCATACAAGTATTCCATCCAGCCTATGACAAATATGAAGATGTGGCCAGAAACCAACAATCCTAAGATAGAGCCTCCCAAACCTAAACCCATGCCTGGTAGACCTTAGAGGAACAGAAGAAAAGGCAAAGATGAACCAAAAAAGAAATATGGAAAGTTGTCCAAGTGTGGAGTGAAAATGACATGTTCCAAGTGCCATCAAAAAGGACATAACAAAAGATATTGTAAGGTAAATGTTTCTTGTCAAATATTTCCTGTTGCCATCACATGTTTCCTGTTGTTCATATGAATGTAGTAATCTGTTTCCATCACTGTTATTCACTGATGTTGCTCAATATTATGTAGGCTGAAAATTGGATGCCTTCACATCAAGGTAGCCAAAGCTCACAAGGTGCTAGCCAACCTGATGCAGCTGGAAGCTCAAGCCAACCTACAAACTCTATGTGCTTTGATACAACAAGGGTTAGAAGGGTTAATGAAGCTAGAAGCTCAAGCCAACCAACACCAAGTTCAACAGATTCGAGCAGGCCTGCTAGAAGAGGATTAGGTAGTCAACTTCCTCCAAAGGGTAAAGCAACTACCAGCTAAAAGAGAGGAAGGGGTGCAAGTAAAGAAGATGCTGAAAAAGGAGCACAAAAAAGGTCCAAAAATGTTGGATTTGGCGTCTACACAGCTGCAAGTGAAACTCAAATATTAAAGGTATATAATCATACATATTTCATGTATAATATGACTTGCAAATAACTTACTGATTGTGGTTCAATATTTGGCAAACTGCAGCCCGGAACATCAAGCCAACGACTTATGGTAAGTGGTTCAACTTATAAGAGTGCAGCTCTAACAGGAATTGACCTTGGTTTTAAGGCTAGAGGCTTGAGGTGGAAGGGTTAAGATGCTGTCACAACTTCCCAGTTGCAGCAGATGAAGGCAAACTTCAGCAAGAAGTAGTATCTTAGGAACTTATTTTTTCTATATGTTATGTAGCAACAACCTATTATATTTTGGGATCTAGTTTTTGAAGGAACTAAACTTTAAGTTTTATTCAGTCGTGTAATCTTACTATTCTGTTTTGGATATATGTTATGCAACTGCAACTTCAGCCTTATTTTGTTTGTTTTGGCAGAATAGTTACTCTATGTTCTGAATAATTACTCTATAATGCAGCAACTCCAGCCTATATGTTCTGCATTTTGAAACTGCATCTTATGGTTCTATGCCTTGTACAGAAGTTGTATATTACAGCATTTTCAAAATTCAACAACTGTAAATTAAAACAACGGTTTCAACATCTGAATATAAACAGAAGTTTATAACAAAATTCAGTTGTATTTATACAACATCTGAATATTACAACAACAATTTCAAAACAGAAATTTAAAGCAACAACAGAAATCCGTCTTCTTTTTTGCTCATCAGTCAACCAAAATTCATCAGTCATACAGTTTCCATAAAACGACCAATAATACAACAACAATCGTCAAAAGGATCCGTCTTCTTTTTGCTCGAACTTTCTCCTCTTCAAAAGCTTTGACTCTCTTTAATAAACCCCAAATTATATTCTTCGCTTGAGTAGGCATCCCATCGTCATACCAACAGAAATAATCACATCCACCCTTTTTCTATAAATATCACAAAACACTTTTAATCAATTTTTATCAAAGAAAATAATTCATAAAACAGAATTTACAAATTATGAACAAACAATTTACCTTTCCGAATTTGCAAGCAAAAAACCTACGGCATGGGTTTAATTGGGTCCAAGAAGTATTCAACTTTGGAGAAACACCACACTTACAGATTCGAGCAGCAACGCAAGGTGACATTGACGAGTTCGTCGATTCCGAGAAGTTCGACATTAATAAAAACGGCAACAACAAAAATGAGAGGAAGAAGAGAAGAGAAGAAATTAATTGATACCAAGAAGAGAACATAAACGAGAGAAAGAAAAGAAGAGAAGAAAAGATTTGCTAGAGAATTGCTGGAGAAATCTGAGAAGAAGGGAAGAGAACAAATAGGTTTTTTAAGAATTGGGAAAGGGATTAGGGTTTAAATAATAATTGACAATCCATGTTACCGTTATGTGTCTAATTGGGAAAGGAAAAGTCACTTTTTGGAATCCTTCACGCGCCTAAATAGGTTTGAAGTCACGCTATATGCCACCAGCAAAAAACGTGTCTAATTGGTATGAGAATTGTCTAAGAAATGTGTCTAATTGGAAAGAGGTCTAGTTTAAGTGTCTAAGTGAAAGATCGTGCCAACTTTAGGTGTCTCCGTATGTATTACGCCAAGAATCAATGTTGTTTTCTTGTCTATGACAGCTGAAATTTTGTTAGTTGTTTAAGAACTTTAATTTTTATACACTAATTATATATAAAAAAATTATTATTAGGTCACTTAAAAGATAACTATAAGTAATTTTCTATAATAAGTGAAATTAGCAGTGTGAAGAATAAGATACCTGCTAAACTAGTTAAAATACATTAAGGGGTCGTTTGATAGGATATATTAAGAAAAATAATACATGTATTTGTTTTGGTATTATTAATCCTTTTTTTTGGTAGTGTTTTCGACATATATATAACTAACTTATTTTAGTTATACACCATATTCAATACAATTCTTACACATAGCAAACTATGCATTAGCAATACCGACTATGTAAATAGTTGGGAGTTTCTTAATTGCTCACCGATAGTTTTAATAACACGCATGTCCCTTCGTATTCTCAGATCTTAATTGAATTATGTGGGTTTTTTTTACCTCGAGTATTATATTTTTTGTTATTATTATTTGGTATTACTTATCCTTTATCTCCTTTTTTCTTCTCTCTTGCTTTCTTGCTTTCCTCCTCCTCCTTTTTCTTCTTCTCCTTCTTCTTGTTTTCGAGCCGAGGGTCTATTGAAAACAGCCTCGCTATCTTCATTAGGTAGGGGTAAAGTCTGCGTACAGACTACTCTCCCCAGACTCCACCTGTTGGGAATATACTGAGTATGTTGTTGTTGTTGTTGTTGTTATTGATAAGCATGTATAAAGATAGAATTACCCTTTCAAAACCTTTATTAATACACCAAATCAAACGGTCGATAAGAAATAATTTCAGTATAACTAATTACATCATAATTAATCTCAATATTACTAATCCTAATATTACCATACACCCTATTCAATATTATTCTTATACACTTTACTAGACGATATGTAACAGTGTAAAATATTTTACGCTCAATATATATAAGTCAAATCTTAAAATAATACATTGAGTTGTAGCGCTTACGAAAAGCATATATTCTTAACCAACAACCTTACTTTTTTTTTTCTTCTCCTATAAAGATTATGATTGTGTCGTACAAGATGTGAAAACTGTATATTCTCCAATAGTATAAGAAATTGGATTTGACTTTTGAAGATAATAACAAATTGAGAAAATTCGTGAAAAGCAGATAATTCCTAAAGAAAAAGCACTCACTAAATCTTTGTGGTTGCTCGAATATCTGTACTGTGAATACCTAATTTTTGCGCTATTTTAACACCTCTTAAATTTATTAGTATTTTTATTATTTAATAGTTTTTTCAATTTTGTGTGTTTAATTGCATATTTTTTATCATAAAAATAACAAAAATAATTTTTTTCTTCATTTGCGCATTTTAGAAATTAACTAAATGTTCAATAGGTTAATTAATCTAGTTAATCGATCATTTGAATAAGTTATTTAATTAATTTATTTGTTTGTATAAATTTAGTTTAATAAGTGGGATTAAGGAAGAAATTTGGCCAAATTTGAAAGAAAAGTGTCCAAGAGTGCAAGATAAAGGGCTGACATTGAAAGGGTCTGAAACTACGTAGTTTTGCCTCAAAACTACGTCATTTCGCTAAATGAAACATGATCAAATCTTACCCATCCATTCCATCTTGATCCAATGAATCTCATTAACTATTGGCTTAGGTATTTAAAGCCTCAAAAATCTGAAAATTGTCCCCATTTTCACCCATAATTCTTTTCTCCTTCTTCTCTCTTCACTCTTTCTACGCCGCCCCAGCTCCGCCCACCGCTGCCGGCCGGAAATCGCCGCCGCCAGCGGACCACCTCCAAACACCTCCAAATTTACGCCATGTAATGTCCACAACTTTCTCTTTCCATATCTCCAAACCAAATCCTTCAAAAATCCCTCAAACTCCTTGAATCTTAGATCTAGGAAACTTTCCCGTCACTTTTTTGCCCAAATTCTTGAAGCTCCAACCACTACCGCCCCACAATACCTACATCAATGGATATAGCTCCTCAAGACCTAGCTATTGATGCAAATTTCACCCTAAAAAACCGGCGACCAAAATCCGGCCAAATTTCGGCGACCTCCCCGAACACCCTCTTTGGGCATACCACCATTTTTTTGGTCACTTGAATTATAAAATGGTAAAAATCCTATTCTTTTTCGTGGCTGTTTTTTTATTTTTATTTTATTTTTTCAGATTTTATTTTTGTCTATTATTAATTATTTTAGCATTAGTTTTTGAAGTTTGAAATGTTAAATTTTCTGTTTTTGCACTTGTTGAAGTAGTAAAATAGTTTTGTGTTGATAAAAGTGAGGTAGTGAAAAATACTTAAGAGTATATGGTACTTCTTTGGTTGTTTATTTATTGCTTCAAGACTCTTTGAGTACAACACTTAAAAGTCAAATTGTTTGGTAAGAAAATGTAGACCTTTGGACAGTGTTTGAATAAAAGTCTGTCTTTGAATAGTGGAAAGCAGATTTTGTTTGAAATACTTGATATGATTTGAACCAGAAAGTCTGGTCTTTTGAATTTAAGAGCAGATTTTGTAGAAAAATCTGTCAAAAAGATTTATTTTTAATTTTTTGAAATAGCTGGTTGTTTTGATATATAGGGGGGGGGACTCCATCACATTTCGGGAGAGCATTTTTATTTTTGCTTTGAACATACAAAAACAAAAAGAAAAATTCAGCAGCTGAAACATCCTTTAGTAAGCTGAAATTGTAAGTCTTAAGAGTGAATCTTAAAGTGCAAACTTTTTAGAAAAGTATAAATCCTCTTTAGAGTTCGTTTCTGGGTTTCTTCTATGAGTTTTTAGGTTGTTTTAACACGGATTTACTGTTGGTTTTGTGGCTGTTGTGCTGTTGTTTTTATGCTGCTTTAATTGCTATACTACTTTTTATTCTTTTGCTATCCAGGTAATTCTTTTGCTGGACTCGTAATGTATGTATTTTCAGCAATTGGAACTACTTGAACATGCTGCACCATTTAAATGTGTTTGATGTGATGAATAATTTGACAACAAAAGAGCTTGTATGTTATTGTTATGTATCAAGCATGTGATATGTGAATATAGTCCTTCATAATACTTGAATATTGAGTCGCAAGTTTTTGAATGTGATATGTAAGTAGTTTATGGATTTTTAAGCCTATTTCCAAGCTATTGTATTCGAGTAACAATGCTAAGTATGCCATGAATGAGGGTGTATAACACATAGCTTGAGTTCGTTTTAGTTGCTGAAATTTCACTGCCAACATATGCTTCTAGGAATGCTGTGATAATTTTTTTTTTGAATCTGGCCATTTTGCCAGATTTGCAAAAGTGGCTATTTTTGTAAAGTATGCGTTTATACAATTGTGACTATGTAGCTAATGGTCATAAATGCAAACTAAGTAAAGAATCAAGATTGTATCAACTTTTGGCCTTTTTAACCAAAAAATAAAAGCTGACCCATTTACCTTTAAACAACAAAATTACCCCTTTTCTTCTAGAGGATTTGGCATTGCATAACAATTTAGTCCAATAATTGGCAGAAAATAGCCTATGTTTTAGCATTTGGCACACGTAACCTAAATTTAACATTTAATGATCTTCTCTCTCTTCTAATGGTCCAACCATTACCCTAAAAATAGGCTTTTATTTCTTTTTGTTAGAATTCGAAAATCTTTCAAGATTATTTCCCAAATCTCTACAATCTTTTTTCTAGGTTTTTAAATTATTTCTCACAAGTAATAAAAATTATAAATATAGTTTGTATATCATAGTGTA